ACTAGAAAGCCTTTGGAGTATATGTATTTTTTTAAGATTGAATCTCTACAATCAATGAGAGTGGCAGACACAAATATTCTCAGTATTTAATGTACGCGTGTTTCTGAGATTCCTGAAATACCTATTGGAGAAAAAAGTGGTAAAAAAAGTAAAGATGCGCCCGAAGGTAGTAATCATCAGGCACTCATAGACTCAGATGAGACCCAACATCCTACACAAGAACCATGGACAAGAGGTAAGTTTATTGACTCTCAAGATCCTTTTGCAAGTGATAAGATAGATGACTCAGTAGGAAAAATTGTGGAGGCTGCACTTGATACTATTAATGCTGATTTAGGCAAGAATAGTGATAATAAATAGGTTAATGTGGACTTTTATTGGTAGTAGTTGTGCACTTTTTGATTCTCTTTTGCTTTTTTGTAAGCCACTTAGTAGCCTTTTGTTTTTAGTAACTGTGCACTTTTTCAAATCCCTATAATGGTTATACTCTGTTATGAGCCACTTAGCGACATTTTATTTTTAGTACTTATGCACTTATACTCTGTTTTATGAGCCACTTAGCGAACATTTTAATTTTTAGTACTTATGCACTTTTTCAATATTTTTTGTTTTCTTATATTAGTTAAACGGTTGTGAACTTCTGTAAATTACTTTATGGCATTTTAATATTAATTGTGTACTCTGTAAGCCATTTTGTGGCCATATTTTTAGTACCTGTGCACTTGTTCAATGGTTTTTGTTTCTTTGGTTTTTGTTTCTTTTTTTGTAAAACCACATTAGTAACCGTTTTGTTTTTAGTATCTGCTGCACTTTTTTCAAAGCCTTCATAATTAGTTACACTCTGTTGTTTAAGCCCCACTTAGTGACATTTTATTTTTAGTAACTGTGCACTTTTTTCAAATCCCTATAATGGTTATACTCTTTAGAGCCACTTACGGACATTTTATTTTTAGTACTTATGCCTTTTTCAATGATTTTTGTTTTCTTTATATTAGTTAACGGTTGTTGGTAGCTAGTTGTGCACTTTTTGATTCTCTTTTGCCTTTTTGTAAGCACTTAGTAGCCTTTGTTTTTTAAAGGTTTTTAACTTTTGTGCCCAAAACTTTTTTTTTTCCAAAAATCCCTATTAAATGTATACTCTGTTATGAGCCACTTAGCCCGACATTTTATTTTTAGTACTTATGCACTTTTTCAATGATTTTTGTTCTTTATATATGTTAACGGTTGTGAACTTCTTAATACTGTATGGCATTTAATTTATTAATTGTGTACTTCTGTAAGCCATTTTGTGGACCATATTTTTATTAGTACCTGTGCACTTTTTCAATGGTTTTTGTTTCTTTGTTTTTGTTTCTTTTTTGTAAGCCACTTAGTAACCTTTTGTTTTTAGTATCTGTGCACTTTTTCAAATCCTCATAATAGTTACACTCTGTTGTAAGCCACTTAGTGACATTTTATTTTTAGTACTTGTGCACTTTTTCAATGATTTTTGTTTCTCTGTGTTAGTTAACGGTTGTGAACTTTTGTAAATTACTTTATGATATTTTAATTATTAATTGTGCAATTCTGTAAGCCATTTTGTGGCCATATTTTTAGTACCTGTGCACTTTTTCAATGGTTTTCGTTTCTTTGTTTTAGTCAACGGTTGTGAAATTTTGTAAGTCACTTTGTGGCCTTTTAATTTATTAGTTGTGCACTTCTGTAAATATATTTTTGGCATTGTTATCTTAGTCGTGCACTTTTTCAAATCCTTATAATGGTTGTACTTCTCTGTAAGCCACGTTGTGGCCACGTTGTGGCCTTATTATTATTAGTTGTACACTTTTCAAATTGTGAAGTTGTCACACATTTAGCTAGATTGTGCACTTTTAAAAAAAATTGTGCCATCAAACTCACACTAAAACTCGGATTTTATTACCTACTTTTAAATTAAAACTTGTTAAGAGTTTTAAAATTAAAACTCTAATTCTATTTTATTTTGGTCGTAATTTATTGCATTTGAGCACTGCTTTTTGAATTTTATTTAAATTTGGAGAAATCAAATTTTGCTTTTAATTTTGAATTTGAATTGAAAAATTATTCAAGTTAGAACCAAAATTTAAGTTTTTCCTCCTTTATTTACTTTTATTTTCATCGAAATTTTTTTAAAATTTGTGGCCTTCACATGAATAAGTGGTTAAAATTTTGGGCCTTTAAATTTGGCTTTGAAATTTTTTCTTATTTTTGTGCACATTTAATTATGTAAAACGTCCCCGTTTCTAATAAGTCAGATTAGAGCTAATAAAGTTTAAAATTTTGGCCTTTAATTTGGCTTTGAAATTTTTTCTATTTTTGTGCACATATTATGTAAAACGTCCCCGTTCTAATAAGTCAGATAGAGCTAATAAAGAAGGTTGGAAGTGACGCCCAAATGATG